TTGGGTCAGGGAATGAGGAGCTGGTCTGCAGAACAACCTTCTATACATATCATTGCCTGCTATCAGTGAAGGTAGCTGCACATACGCTTCATGACTGAGTGCATAAACATAGCAGTGACAGCAAACAGAAGCAGCAAAATGAGGCGTGGGCCTGATTTCACTGGTGTAGCTGTTACAATGGAGCCTCAGGCGCTCATGAATAATAAGATATGTGATAACTAACACTCGACATAAGACCAGGGCTATTATACTCCATCCTTTATGAGAAAAATCACCGGGTCTCCATCAGCATCAACATGCCAACTCACTCATCCTATAATCAGATGTGTTACTTTGGCTAATTTAGACTTTATCACACCTTGATGACTGGTGGGTAATTTGCATAGGGTTTAAGTACAGCACAGAGCAGTTAGATAGCCTATCACTGGATCCCGTGTGCTGATAAAATGCACAATAAAACAAAGAAACATCCGACATCAATCATATCCTGCATGGATCACAGAGCGGGCTGAATAATGGCCACATTAGAGATGATTCTCACTTTCACCTGTAGGGAGAAAAAAAAAAAAAAAACAGGACGCAGCCAAGTGAATACAAATGATACAATTGTTATCTGACAGCGTTCCTGTGCAATTGAGGAATTTTTTTGACCTTGCGGTGCAGGTCCTGCTGGTGGGTTACAGCCACAACCCCTGTCACGAGGGAGAACCTGAGCCCTTTCAAATGGGTGCTGAGGAAAGTACTTTAAGTCAATATTGCGCTTCAAAAGAGTTCACAGGCTCAAATTCCCCCCCAATCGCTGCTTATAGACAGATAGAAAATAAATAAATTAAATTACCTTGCAGATGAAACATAAAGACAAGTCAAAGGAGGCTGCGTTTGAGCTTATTCCTCCCAGAGAGCATCCTGAGAGTGTCTTCTTGCCTTTTAATGGGACCGACTGAGAGATAATTCAGGTGTCCCGAAACACGCGCCTCAGCTCCTATAACATGTGACGGCCTGCGAAACCAGCGATGCCCTTCAAGAAATCCATGAGCGGCAGATAAAGGACGACTCCTCTCCGATCCCGCCACGCCGGAGAAATGTATGAGCGTCCCCCTTTTTTTCTTTAGTGAAAAATACGCTTTGCTTGAAAAACGCAACCTGAAGCGTCCCAGCGTGCCGCTGAGGGGCTGCAGCTGTGCGGGATCGCCTCTACTGCGCATCCGCCTGTATGCACCTCCAGAAGAGAAAACGCCTTTTGTAGCGACAGACTGCTTGAATATCCACAGTGCCGTGAGTGACTGCTGCTGCTGCTCTGAATCCAGCCAGATGTTCCTATCGCTTTCACGCGTTTTTTTTTTGCTTCCTGGCGACGCACGGCTCACTGCGAGTTAATCCAGATTGACTGAAAGGTTGCTGCCATAATATGCCCCCCCCTCTTCCTCCACCTCCTCCACCCTCCTCCTCTTACTGCCCCCGGACTACTGTCAACCACCGACCCGGCTCCATTTCTGACCAGAGGTGCTGTGCTCGGAATGGTAATCAGTGCGCTCCGAGCTGCACAGAGAGCATTTGTGTGCACAGACAGATGCAGTTGCCTCCCAGCCTCTCTTTCAGGCAAGGCATCATCATTTATTCATGTAGATTGAACTCTACTGCACGAAAATGCAGCAGGGTCTATAATATTCTGTAACTATTAAATTACATTGGAAAAAAAAAGCAGAGAAATGTTTATCTGATTAGACAGGACAGAAGGAGATGAAAAATTAGTCAGGCAATACGTTTTACACGCCTAAACTAGTCTGTTGTTGAAACTCTGTCCATTGCTTTGGATATAAACTGTGCTTAACTGGTACATCTGGTCAGAGAAAAAGCCAAAATAGCAGCCTATGGCTGAATATCCTGCATGTATTACATAGATTATTGGTTATAAAGTGTTGAGTTGGCTGAAAGTGGAAGCCCCCTATTCCTGTGGGTCTGCCTAGCATTGGAGCCATCACTATTTGATGCAATGATCCCGTGGCCTTTTGTGCAACTTTGATATTGTTCATAAGTCTATAACAGTGCAGACTCAGTCCCAAAGCACAATGACCCCACACTGCCCCTGGAGCCTCCTGGTACTTTGAAATGACTGGTTGTTTGGTTGTCATCCACAGAATTACCCTGAGGATTTCTGCTCCAGATCAATAGCTCAATCCAGTTACGACACATCCACATAAGATCAACGGGAATAAGTGGTTAAAGCAGATCCGGCATTATGCAGAGCTGGAACGGCTGAAATGTTTAACTATTCATTTTAATGTGTGTCTGCAAAATCTCACTTATATAAGAGACATAAAAAGTATAGGCTCTGACAGTGACATCATCCACAACAAAGTAGAACAAGTTTACAGCATTTCAATTGAAATATTATTTTCAGACTGATTACATGTTGGCTACCTGCACAACAAACTAGCAGAATAACTGATTTTTATTGCTTGTATACAAGTTCTTACTTGTAAAATCCAAATAACTCTTTTAAAACACATTCAACCTGAAAGCCTTTTCAGCTTTTATGTAAATACATTTCATTTAATTAAACTTTTTGTGGATTTTAAATATCTATTATTTCCCATTGTTTTGCCTGAAATGTTTTGACATTTCATTCCTTTTATAACCTGATGTTTTTATGACCTGCCAGTTTGCTATTTGTAACTTGGATTTTGAAAAATGCTCAATAAATAAAGGTCAGCATGAACTAACTTTAAAGGTAATTATCATTATGCACATGACAAACTGTCAATCAAGCTTTTTATGAAGTTCCAAATCACAATAATTACTTAATGAGACTTTATATAAAGAGCAGGTGTAAATTATATTATTTAAAGAGGAAAAACATGAATCTATCAGGCAACAGCTGTTAGGAAGAACTGCCTTTTAACCAATATGTACAGTCTATGCTTTTAACAGACAGAAACCTTGAACAGAACAAGACTCATTAGTGAAAAGCCATCTGCGATGACGGCATAAAAGCAATGCAAGCAAAAGTGGGAAATTACTAGAATTAGCCATAAAAACTATGACAATGATGACCTAAGTATGACTGCTAATTATAATTGTAGCAGTAGTATTGAAGGCTGCTCATTGCTGACAGTCTATGACATGAAATGACACTGTCTTGTCTTAATTATTGCAGGGCAACTTCACTCATATGATTCAAACTTTTACTGACGCCTGCCACCCAGAAACTGTTGGTTGTAGGTGAGGCCGTCTGCCCGTTCACCTGACCGGCTCTTCCTCTCCAGGAACAGGCCTATGTGGTCTCGTGGAGGGTCAGCGATGCTACAACTCCACAGGGTCTCTGTGATCCCCAGCAGCTCACGAACACGAGCAGCGATGACCTGCAGGGCACACAGCAGGGTTGAAACCTTTGATAAAGTTTATGTTTACGATATCCAACCGTCATTTAATAAGGTAGTCACTCTGAGAGCGAGAGTCTCTCCTCTTTGAAGGTTATTCCACAAGAGTGTGGCATCACAGGAGGAATACATGACAGTATTACACCCCCAAAAACAAATAGATCACAGGGCTTAGAGGCTAAACAAATATAGAATTTGACTAAACAGAGCGCTGACGATTCTTAACTGAGTCTGCCTGTCTGGAGATATGTGCTCTGCTCCAGTGTAGCAGAGCTGAACACATACAGGCACTGTCAGCCAATTTAGTTGTGACCTCAGGGAGAGATAAGAAAAACACTGGCTTTCACTGTAAACAGCGTATATGTGTTACATCTGATCTGAGGTGTCTGCTGCCAGTGATGCTCGGTTACAATGCACAACTTTAATTGGATGTCACACTGTTCAAAGAGAAGAGTGTTGCGATGCCAAACTGGATGTGCAATTGAATTGGTAGACTAAAAAAATGCTATTGCAGCCCACTTAAGACACTGGAGATATTTGTTGTACAATTCTAATTACCATTTTAAATCTGTTAGATCTTTTTTTTCTAAATCAATGTTACTTTACCATTTTAATTCACGCAAAATAGATTTCAAAATTTACCTTGGTATATTTACTATGTGAATTAGGTCCCTCAAATAATGATCACTTCTTAGGATTTAGATAGAAGACAAACAACCCAAAAATAAAGTTGTTCCAGCACCAGATGGTGAGAGCAGGTTATACAGAGTACAGTGGTTTCAACAATAGCATCATTATCTTGGTGCTACTCCTCAGCCTGTTGAAACTTCTTTGAACATTGTGTGAGCCTCCATCTTTGATATGTAAACAAGTCCCCATAGTGACATCAATCTCTTTTGAAGGTGGGAATCAAAAACTCAAGCTTCTTCCTTTTCTAATACCTGCATGTCTTTAAAATCTGTGATTCCAAGCCTTGGCAGGTAGATGCAATCTACATAAATGAGCTTTCTTCCGGTGATGAGGTTGTCCATGAAACATGCCTGAGACAGAAATGAATAATGAGTGCACATCCTCTGACAGTGAAAAATGATCTTGTAAGGTGACAGGCACATATCCTGTAATGATCTCTGTTTAGTGAGGTGAATATTAACCTACTTCGTATTGTGGGAATCCTAAAGACTCAATCCATCTTGCAACATCATGACAACTCCACTGCAGGAACTCCATGTTGCCTGTAAGCATGTTACTATGGAAACTGTTACCTGTCACAGGGCATTGAGAAGAGTTTCACTCACAAAGAAAAAGGGAATTCTGGTCAGAAACAAATATATATGTTCAAAACTAGGTTTCTGAATTTTTTTGTCGAAGTTTGTATACCAGAAAAAAAAAAATCCTCAAAACTTACCGAAAAAGCTTTCTTAAAGTCGCAATGAAGCAACACAAATTACACCCGCTTGTGTTTATTGAAACAGCCAATCAGCTTCTTGTAATTTAGGGCGGTTGTTTAATTGAGCGCTGGGATTGGATAATAAATCGAGCATGTCCCGCCTACAATAGAAGAAATCAGCGAATGCCACATCGCGTAGCTTTCACAGATCATCACATAATGTGGACTGGTGACAGAGGGAGAAAAATCACATCGTAAATGTCTTATGTATCGTATCAAAACGCAGCATAGTATCCCGCCGTCCCCTGCTCTGTTCTACTACTGCTAGCTAAAGTTCTCTTAGCTCGCCGCTGTACTGTGGGTCGGTTGAAGGGCTTCGGAGCAGGAACATAGAAACCAGACTCTCACAATGGCAGCAATTCTACTTCGTTCCCTTTTGACCAAGAAGGTAAAAAAAAAGCATTGTTAATAAACAGCTGGCTTCAGTTTTGCGCTTATGCAACCACACATAGCTGATAACCTGTGCAGCCAGCTAACAAAGTCGCAGTCAACGCTATCTTGGAAAGTATTTCAAGTGTATATTTTGTGCTTATTAAGTTTGATAAGTAGGGCAGGTTTCACTTGCATTACGTGGAAAGAAGTGGCAATCAATTGAGCATTGACACCTGGCTCTTGTTACCTTTTTATAAAGTCATGTGATAACGAGTTAGATTTGAGCAGTAGTTGACTTTATGCTTTTATTTCTTGCAGGTGTCCCTCCAGCTGGGTCGCTGTTACTCCTCCTCCTCAGTGGTAAGAGCCTCCAATAACACGACTTTTCATTGTATATATATTGAGAATACATCTCCTAATGAAACTTAACACATCTCATCAGTGACCCTCATGTATGTTTTGTTCTGTTATCAATGTTTAACATATAATCCCTGCTAATGTTTCACCAGAAAATTCCTTACAGCAACAATATGTTACTTTCCCAACTTCAAATGTAGTTTCAGAGGTGGATTATATAGCTCAATAACTTTCCACAGGGAGACTGGCTTCTCTCCTGCTGTGTGTCACTTTGGCAGCAGGTCGAGGTCATCTTGTGAGAGTGCATACAAACTTCACAGCACTAGTTCACACACCGGCCTTTAGTTATAAAGAAGACACCAGTTTGCCCGTCTTGGTAAGGTTTGATACAATGGGTGAAGCCAAGAAGAGAAAAAGATAAGTCACCAAGCAAGAAGCAGAGGGTATCTCCTTGCAGATATTTTTCATTAGTAGGCAACATTATCTTGAGATTTAACTTCCAGACAAAATTTCTTATTATGAATAAAGGTAAAATTTGAACTATTAGATCAATAGCTGCAATCAAAATGTCATTAGTTTTGAGACATTTTTAGAAAATCCTCCTGTTAGACCTGCTCCAAATTCTCTTCTGGTTCCTCCTTGATTTTAAAAGTTTAACTATGAATAATTGTTATAATAATCATTTTATTGCAGATTGCAAAAAAATGCTACAGAGATTTCATACAGACAGCACCATCTACTTAACCTACTTTACCTAGCAGAGCTTTGAAGTAAATGACCTCTGCTAACATTACTTACACTGAAACACAAGTCAATCAGACTGGGAGAAAAGCCATCCCTCAGACTTCATCGAGAAAGAAACATTTTATTCCAAACCTACTTTTCATTAATTAATTGCATTGCAATGAACATCAGCCTTTTATAGAATACAGTCAGTTGAATCTTCCTCACTATTTCAATGCGCTAATACTTCATACTAGAAGCTGCTTAGAGTTGGTGTGTGTGGATTGCAATTGGATATGAGCTGATGACGCAGGGTGACTGTTTGAACCATCAATGCTTTAGGAAGGAACTGCATATGTTGTGACGATGGATGAGTGTCCCTAATGAACTCAGGGATGATGTAAGCATGCAGGACAAGATTAAATCATATGCTTCTGTGATCCTCTAGCCCACAACCAAGCTGTTCATTGATGGCAAGTTCGTCGACTCCAACACCTCTGAATGGCTTGACATCCACAACCCTGTAAGTACTCACAGTTGAACTTTACTCAACCTGTGAAGAGACTGCAGTAATACAAGCTCTTATATAAGCTGGCTGCAAATAACCAGTGCAAGTTTGAAGTTGTAACTTATAATCACTTTTGGTGGGGTGGGGGGATTGTAACTCTTATAGCTTAATGCACAAAGCGAGTGGAATCCATTCTGCACAGCCTCTTATGTTTAATATCTACAAAAAGTCCATCCCCGCTGTTGTGAAGCCTGACAAGTATAACCCTTAAGCACAGAGATGATTGGTGATAATAACATGCAGAAACAGCAATCACACAAAATATCTCACTTGTAAAGGAGATTGATTGATTAAATTAAATTTAAATTGATTGATTGATTAAATTTTATTTCAGACATCAAACAAACATTTGGTTATAGATATTAATGCATTATTAGTAATATGAAGTGATGATCGCTCTTGCTCGAAGTCAACCTGTCTGTAAGATCTGTCTCCTGCTCCTCAGGCTACTAACGAGGTGGTGGGGCGAGTTCCCAAAGCTACACAGGAGGAGATGCTTGCAGCAGTGGACTCCTGCTCCAGATCCTTCCAGTCCTGGTCTGAGACCTCCATCCTAAGCAGGCAGCAGGTCTTCTTGCGCTACCAGCAGCTCATCAAGGACAACATTGTAGGGAGAATTTTCACTTGTTTGCCTTTTGAGAGAAGTAGAATACTTAAGGGCTGCAACAAATAATGATGTTCTTTTAATCTGCTGATTATTTTCATGATAAATCCTTTAGTCAAAAAATTGTTTAGATGTTTCTCAAAATTTCCACTTTTGTCTTTAAATGGCTTCTTTTGTCTGTCCAAAATAAAAGGTCTCATCCATTTACTGTCATGGATGACAAGGAACAGCAACAAATTGTCAAATTCTAAGAACCTTAAAAAAGCAAATGTTTGACATTGCTGCTTGAGAAGTTGCCTGAAAGTATTCATCAATTATCTAAACAGCTAATTTTCCTCAAACACATTAATCACCAAATCTTTGCAGCTCTAGAGTGAATGATCACTTTGCTGATTATTAATGAATAATTAATAAAACTATCATTAAACTGTTCATCCTCTATTATTTCAGAAAGAGCTGGCTAAAGTGATCACCTTGGAGCAGGGCAAAACCCTCGCTGATGCAGAGGGAGACGTATTCAGAGGACTCGTAAGTAACGCAGAGATCTCCCGCTGTGCTGTTGGGTTTTGATTTCCTGATTAGATAAGAGTGCAGGTGAATATACAGCGGGGATCAAATTCCCCGTTTCAAATAGTTGTCTATAGTATCCGTATCTGCTGATGAAAAGTCTGTGTCTTTGGCAACCCTTTATGCCTCTGCCTGAGTGAACTAAGTGGCTGCAGGATGTCAATTATTTGCGTGAAACCAAACACTCTTCTCACCTTTAAATTAATAATGGGGCAAGGGTTCTTTTTTGGCCATATAGGCATACAGAGGCTTTCAGAATGTCTAATTATAGCAAACAATGGATACAGAGCATTGTTAAGTTCTGATGTCATAGTGGGACCTCATAGTTTGTTTTCTACTAGCTAAGCTTTTAGTTGCATTCTATATAAAGATAATTCTGCTGCCCACCTCCCCCTCCCTTCTTAAAATACTCTTGTTCGCTTTGGAAAACCTGCATTAACAAGAACCATGTTAGGAAATAAAAAGAGCCATGCTCACTTTAAGTAAACGGCGATATATTTTTGTTATTTCGAGACAGAGCTGCCAAAGTGTATTTTGCACTTGGTACAGCTCCCAGTTTGGGGATGCCCGAGTTGTTCTGGCAGACCAACTCACCAACTTATCAGCTGAAAGTCAGGCTACATCTGCAGGTGTGCTGCCAACTGAAGAGATTTCCTGCAGTACTGGGACCAACGGTGTATGAAGATTTTTCTACTTCTGTTACAGTCTACTCATAGGGAAAGAAATAACACTTCAACATGCAATTATCTAATTTCCCATTATGATTTCTAGAGAGGAATCCATTCACTTGTTATGTATCATGTCTATTTTTGAAATTATTTTATTTATTTTCCTGGTGGAGGTTTAACAGCTATGGTGTGTAAGATGACTTTCAAGATGATCCGTCTTTTCAGCTTTGACAATATCATATGACCCTAAACCTGTCGTATCATTATAAGGCATAAAAATAAAATCGGAAAAAGACATTTTTTTCCTTTGAACTAAAGATAAGAAAAGATACATGTGTGTGTATATATACCTAAAAGAAAATGTGTTTTTCCACTTCTCTCAAAGTCCTTTTGCTGATGCATCCATGAGAGGCTTATTCATTCAATATATAGATTTCATGAATCATATCACAGCAGACTTCTAAAGACGAGGTTTCTGGTTTAAAACCATTTCTTTGTAATTGCCATCCTGACAGCTTTCTCTTTATTCTTAGTCCTTTTAGTATTTGTAGATTAATCTGAAAGTCAAGTCAAAAGTTTAGTCTCAAAACTGAAGACAATTTTACAAATACATTTAAGTGTTTGTAGATCTTGCATCAAAAAATAGTTTACTTTTTGAAAAGGCCCAATATCTCTGCATATATTGTTGATTTATTTCATCCTTTCTCCATCCCCCCCCAGAGGTGGTTGAACACGCCTGCAGCATTACCTCCCTCATGCTGGGGGAGACCTTACCTTCCATCACCAAGGACATGGACACCTACACCTACCGTCTGCCCATCGGCGTGTGCGCAGGCATCGCCCCTTTTAACTTCCCTGCCATGATCCCCCTGTGGATGTTCCCAATCGGCATGGTATGTGGCAACACCTACCTGATGAAGCCCTCTGAACGGGTCCCTGGATGCACCATGCTCCTCGCCAAAATGCTCCAGGACGCCGGGGCACCAGATGGTACGCTCAACATCATCCACGGCCAGCACGCAGGTGAGTGTGTCTTCATGTGAGTCATTCAGATCAACACAATCTTTTATAAGCAGTGGGTAAAAGTCCAAGAATGACTCAAACACTCATCATATAACCCCCAGCAATATGTAAATGAGAAATTTCCACAATGTGCTCAGCCTATATCTGTAAGTGATTTACAAGCATTCTAGGCACTACGATTTGAATCTCTGGATTTAAACCTTTATGCACTATTTTGTGCCTAAAGGGGGCCACACAGGCATAGAAGAGAGGATTCAAAGTATCTGTTTGTATTGTTTTGTAGCGGTGAACTTCATCTGTGACCATCCAGCTATCAAAGCAATCAGCTTTGTGGGCTCCAACCCCGCAGGAGAGCACATCTACGAGCGAGGATCCAAGAACGGCAAGAGAGTCCAGTCTAACATGGTACAGCAGAACTCCTTTTACTGATTTGACTGATTTTAACATCCTCAGACTAAATGTACAGATGTTAGATTGTAAGTCCCACCAGGCTGAGGTTCATGTCTTCCATAATAATCCGCATATTAAATGCTGTTCACATATGGAAAACAACATAACGTATAAAATATACGACTGTTACCAAGACAACAGCTCAGAGCTCAGCTGTCAATTGCTGATATGTGAAACATGTGATTATCACCACTCTCCCTCTGTTTGACGTGTGTGACCCAAGAAAAAAAAAAACAACAGTGCACTGTCCTATATTTTCCATTTTAGGGTGCCAAGAACCATGGTGTGGTGATGCCTGATGCCAATAAAGAGAACACCCTCAACCAGTTGGTTGGTGCTGCATTCGGAGCAGCTGGCCAGCGCTGCATGGCTCTCTCCACGGCTATTTTTGTAGGAGAGTCTCGTGAGTGGCTCCCAGAGCTGGTGGAGCGCTCCAAATCACTACGTGTAAACGCAGGTAGCTTTATAGAGAGCTTCATTTTATAAACCTTTCTTCTATTCTTTGTTAGTGATACTGCCCTTCATAAAGAAGACTCTTACGTGTGGTGTGTGTGTCCCTAAGGTGATCAGCCTGGGGCAGATGTAGGGCCCCTGATCTCTCCTGAAGCTAAGGCCAGGGTGGAACATTTGATTCAGAGTGGGGTGGATGAAGGTGCCAAACTGTTGCTGGATGGGAGAAATGTTGCTGTAAAAGGATATGAAAATGGAAACTTTGTAGGACCCACCATCCTCAGCAATGTAAAGGTGAGATTTGGCTCCAAAAATGGAATGTAGCAGCCGAGCAGATTCACTACAGAATAAAATGCATGGTCAGTTAACTAGCTTTTTACCTTCAAAATAAGAGTCCATAAAAATGCACATAAAGCTTTTAAAGCATGAACAAAACCTTTTCTTTAACTTACAGTAAATTGCAACAAGTTTCAGAGGAGATTTTTTTTCAAACTTTTATTGTTGTACAAGGAAGAGTTCTGCACCAAAACTTTGAATCCTGAATCCCTGTGTTAATAAATGATAGTTATTATAAATCTTAGCTCAGCATTCCTTGTTTCCATTATGACTGTTAGTTTGAGGCTGCATCCCAAATTACAACCCAGTATGCACTGGATATCCAACAATATGTTCACATTCACTGAACTTCCTATCAGAGAAATAACAGTAGTAAGGGCTGTATGTGTGCTTTTGTCACTTTATGGGAGTCTACTTGTTGGTTGGAGGCGTGTAATTATAAAAATGTTGTAAAGTGAGACCTAAACGATATTATACAAGTTAAACCATTATTACACTAGAGCTGCCTTGGTGGCTTTCCAGTATTGTCTGTTTAAATATTGAATGGTCTGCATTATTGCATTGTGGGACATTGGTGGTTGTGAAGTGTACATTGCTTGCAAATTGATATGTCTTTGGAAAAAGTATAGATTTGACGTGTTCTTGATTTCAACTGAGCTTCACTCTCAGATTGAGTGTTAATATAATGGTAGTGAGCACAGGATGAAACTGCTGTACTCTCCTCCTTCTACCCCCAGGAGATGAAGTCATGTTCCAGGTTAAGACACCTGATTCAAAATGCTTTAATTCCAAAATTAGGAAAACTTTTGACTTATTGCACTGAAGACAAACTTTCCTATTCAGACTGTGGCTTATGCTGTTACATGACAGACTTACAGAACCCTCGCCTAATGCTGCTTTCTCTGAAACATTTCCTGTTACAACTAAATCTCATGTAGTTTCAGTAATAGGTGATCTTAAATTGCCAGAGGAAAGTCTACATCGATCTTTATTCTGTTCCTTTCAGGCTGACATGAAGTGTTATAAAGAGGAGATCTTCGGTCCAGTGCTCGTTGTCCTGGAGGCAGACGATCTGGATGAAGCCATTTCTTTAATCAACAAAAATCAGTACGGTAACGGCACCGCCATCTTCACCAACAACGGAGCCACAGCACGCAAATACACACATGAGGTGGACGTCGGCCAGGTGAGAGCAAAAGCTGAATAACTGAACATGGGAGGTGTCTTCATAAGAAGCCTCTTATGGTTTTCAAATTGTTTGTTATAATCCAAGGTGACAGTCACCTCTTGGTGTTATTTCTGTTTCCAGTGAATCACCTGTGAGAGACTTTGATGAGTAAACAGATTTGTGTGGGAGGCGTTCTGTTTCAAAAAGACAAAACAGACATTGTTCATGTGAAGTGGGAATATTTATTGGAGCGACATGAAGGCTCAAAGGAAAACTGCTCTAAAGAATTCATGAAAGTGAAACACCCAGTGCTGATTTTTCTCTACTACATTTAACAGTTTCTTCTTTGAACCCAAAGCAGCTTCTGCATATTTGTTGTGGCATTCAAGTCTCTTAAAACATCAGCACAATCTTTCATGTACGTGAAAGGCGTGTGCTTTTAAGAGATCAATTATGCCATCAGAAGTAATAGTTTGGAAAATAAAGGATTGGTTCTCTCTTTTTTTTTTTTTTTTAAAGCTGCCTTCAATCAAACTGTTTCTTTCATAAAAAGCATACATTTGTTTGTGCTCAGTATTTACTTTCTCAAACAGATAATGTTGAGCAGGCAGTAAACAATGCATTGTCAACCTGCAGTTCCACCTGCCAGATATCACCTACCAGTACATAGAGTTTTAGGCAATCTCAACCTGTATTAAAGAAGACATGAGCCAATTTTCAGCAGATATCTGGTCCATAATCTGTGACAATGTGAAAATTGAGTCTTGTTCGAGGAGAGTTAATATACAATTTTACATTTATAACGTCTCTCTTGCTCATAGATGAGAATGAGTTTTTACAACCTTGTTTCTGAAGGTCTGACCAGGATGGATGTCTCCCTGCATGGACTCTTACAGATAATTCAGAGGAGCTTGTATTTGTGTGAAGATGAAAGGAAATAACTTGTGTGTCACACTTGACTTTTTTTTTTTTTTAAACTGATTCCCCAGATTTAGGACGGTTTAGCCAACCAAATGATAGAATTAAAAGCAAGATCCGTGTTGAGTCTTTAATCCTGCAGTAGCTATGTATGAATTCTTGTCCATGTGTTCATGCATTTGCACAGATTGGCGTGAACGTCCCCATCCCTGTCCCCCTACCCATGTTCTCCTTCACCGGCTCCAGAGGCTCATTCAGAGGAGACACCAACTTCTACGGCAAGCAGGTAAAAAAAACAAAAAACAAAGCAACTTGTTGGATCATAAAATCTAAACATGCACATGAACCGGGTGGCTGATGGAACACATGCATCTTTCCCAACCAGGGCATCCAGTTCTACACACAGATCAAGACTGTGACTTCACAGTGGAAGGCTGAGGACGCCACTGTGACCAGCCCGGCTGTTACCATGCCAACAATGGGACGCTAAGCTAAATTGACAGCACATGTAGCATAACCATCCCTGACTTCCCATTTGCCTTAAGAAGATGCCCACGGAGGTGATGGGGAGGTTTATGTCCTTTTTAACTAGGGATTATTACTTTGTGACATATCAGACAATGTTCTTCTACAAACACATAAATGCAATTCTAACCTCATTTGGAGACAAAATGGACTTTGTGCTGTCAGGCTTTTTATGGGTTTGTTGTCTCTTTCTATTCTGTTCTCACTGGGGGGAACAGATATTTAATCCTGGTCAGTCATTTTCTTTCTCTGTGGGGTATTCTGGTGTCAAAATCTTTCAAAAACCTACAGTAGAAATTACATTTAGGGACTCTGCCTTTAAAGCAGCCACAGTAAATGTCTTCCACTTTTATCCGCCTTGGCTCTTTCGATTTTATTTTTCATCAGAGCTTTGTGTAGACACTCCAAGTATAAACTGTATAATTGGAACAAATGCTACTCTAGAACAAGGAGACGCCCGTTCTGTTACTCCATTGAAATGTTTGTTGTCCTCTGTATGGATACTCAACTGTGTGTGTGTTAGATAGAGATTCAGTTTTGTCCTGTATTGAGAGAGTGATGCTTTTTAGTATCCATGAATGGCATGGAAGTTGAATTGCAGTGTTTGAAATGACATGGACTTGACAGTGGATGTTCTTTACAAGCCATTATAAAGAAACTGTGACAATATGTGCTCGACATCTTTTCAATTTATGTTTTTGAGCTACTTCAAACTCGGTTCCCTCCTTCACTCCTCCGTTCAGTCTTGTGACTGAAGAGAGGAACAATAACAAGAGTGTTTCAGTCTGTGGTTCACTGAATAAACACACTGTAATTTGTCTCAATTGAGTTCTGATTTGTGTTGCAATTTTTTTGGCTTGTTCATTGCACATAAATACAACTTGGTGATGTGCTGGAGCAAAAGGGGGCAAACATATAAATGATGCCTGATGAAATCGTATAATAATGCTTGAACTTGACTCGATCTGATTCAGCACTGCAACCTATAATTCAGCTGCTAAAAGCTTCCTGTTTTGACTGCCAGTTAAATGTAAACACCTGAAATAAAGCTACCACTGATATCTTTGCCACAAGCAGAATAAGCATATTCTTCTATTTGCATGTTAATTGGTTAATTCATGTTTTATTCTGTAATGTATTGGTGAGTGAGCGGATGACGTCACGAGGAGTCAGCCGCAGCTAGTCGGACATCATGGTGAGCCTGGACTGTTTTCGTCATCAACACTCCTAGGCGCTTGAAAATATTGTTTTCGTCGTGCTTTTTTTTTTAATCGTTTTGAAGTGCTTTTGAAGTCTTGTGCTCACTTCTGCTCCTTTGATGAACCGGTTGTATCGAGATGTTTAAACTTCACCGGCTAGCTTTCTCCCACGCAGCATTTATGCTAGCTGTTGACACCAATAGTTCAGGATGACGCCAAGCAACTTTTAATAACCTTTAACGTAACCCAAACTTTTAAAATGTGTTTTACTGACGTCAAATCTAGCTGTCCAAAGTCAGGAGGACACAGTTCACCAGTTAACATGACCTGTAGCTCTTCATAAACACACGACAGGTGACCTGACGGTAACACCGACGGCCACAATTTAGTTACGTTAACATTCATAACTCGAGTCATGTCGTTTTAAATACATAGTCTAATATAAGTGATGTTTCAAGAGATTACATAGTCTAATATAAGTGATGTTTCAAGAGATTGTGGACTCTAGTTCACTTCATGTGGGCCAGTTATTTTACATGTCTGTCTGCTTTAATAAGCATGTCCCGCCCCTTTTGATTGACAGCTGTCATATTTACCGTCTATGGTAGGGCTGGGAAATATATCGAGTTTTTAAGATATATATTGATATATTTTCAAACAAGATAAAGGGTAAGACAACATTGTTAATATGGATATAGTTTATGTTGCATTAAAGTAATGTTATAGAGGTGTCAGTTCACCTTTTTCTCATCTCACTGATGATGACTGACTGTCTGTCCCTCTTATCCCTGCTCCTCCTCTCTCTCTCTTTTATTGTATTTAAGGAACGTTTTTTTTATAATATTACTTTTTAAATTCACAAACAGGTAGTTTATTTTTCCATGTGCTTTCACTGTTAATAAAATACATATCGATATATATATCAAGTATCGCCATTCAGCTAAACAATATCGAGATATGAGTTTTGGTCCATATCGCCCCAGCCCTAGTCTATGGCTGGAGCCAATGCATCAGTGCATTTGAAACGGCTGCTTTAGATTTTTATGCAAAAATTTGCTTATTTATTTCTGTTAACGCCACAGTAAAAGAAAGATTTTCTTGGTTATAAACTGTCTATTGACGGGCAAGCCACAAAGTGAGCCTGACAGAGAGATCAAGCATCCCTGCCATTCTTAAGCCCTCATGTTTTGATTAAAAATTATAAACAGATGCGATTAGATGTACCTGTAGCTAATGTGATTTTATTGAGCCTTGTGAAAAAACGAAATTGATGGTATTTAAGACACCTGTAAGCACAGCTATTTGAACTTTGAAAGGCTTGGTATTATTGAAATTACACGGAGATATACATTTATTTAAGTGTTTGTTCATTTTGCTGAGTCTCAGTTGAATGTGTTTACTGTTATAAGTCTGCCGTGGATATTAAGCTTTTTAGGAAACAACAGTCAAGAAAAAAATGCACAAACTTGACGTCATTTAAGGTCAAGTAAGTGAATCATGCAGGTTTTTTCTTTATTTTTCTCAAAAGCGGACTCAGGTCCATAGACCACTCAAGCACTTTGTCCACTCTAGCCAACAGATTAACCTTATTTTGATTAAATGATCCCATATGTACAAACTAACTGCCATGACTTTTTTTTTATATATGCGCTTCTAGCTGCTGAGTATACAAGCAGCGTGACTTCCTCATTTGATGATATTGTTTGGGCACGTCTATGATTGCACCTAATCTCCCAAAACATTTGAGCTGTACATTTCTGAAGACTGGTTTATTTTGTGACTTTCTAAGCAGAACGCAGCTTTAAATGAGCAAACATCCAGGCCCGAAAACAAGATTGAAATAATTGTTCTTTACTCCTTTAGTTGACACTTTAGTTCTTAAACACTTCAGTGAGAGAATAAATAATAAAGGAGTAAGGGACCAGAGTCAGGACGCCCAGCTTTTAGAAAGAACTTTTATCTGTAAGTCACGATTCCATTACGCCCTCCTATTCATTTTTCTATCTTGCTCGAGGCAATCGTGCAAGTGAAATTACTGAATTTGAAACTTAAATTGGCTTCTGCAGGCAGTAAAATTCCTCAAGAGACACTGCTTTTAGTGTCTCTATTTTCTGTTAGGTAAGGTTGACAATGTCTCAGCAGGGTTCTCCAACACAGCAGCGTCTCACTGAGGCTTTGAAGACATCATCATTCCTCACATTTCTTATCTGAGTTTTTTTTTTAGAGAGATGTAGAGACACGCTCGAGTTGCCATGTATTGATCCAACATCAAGATCAAAGGATTAAGGCTCACCAATTTAAATCCAACATGTTGAAAGTGTGATGTTTTCTAAAGCGTCCAGGAGTCACAGGAGTTGACTCAGCAGGTTCAAGAGTTGATTTAGGGATACGTCTGTGTGTGGTTGGCTGGGAAGTCTGACAGGGAGTGGTTAGAAACCCTGGTGTACATATCTCTATTACCTCTGACTCTTCTTTGCTTGTCATGAAGTCATCCAACATCTCCCATTACAAGCCAGCAATCGTTACAGTTGATTTTTCAATACATTTATGGTGACACAGTCCTGTAACTAGAGTTTGTTGTGTTTCTGCTGTTTCTCCAGAATGAAGATGAAGCTCTCCGTACTAATTCCACTCCTGGTCCTGCTGGCTATTATAGACCTGAGCCAAGCCCAGGTCAAGACCTCTCTCCTGGATTTGACAAACAGCATCGGGAGCATCCTTCCCAGCCTCAGCCGACCTGCAAACCATAGCAGGATCTTCTATGCAGTGATGTTTGATGCAGGAAGCACAGGGACACGCATTCATGTGTACACATTCATCCAGGGTGACTCAGGTAATAGCTGGTAGTACTCTGACCTGCTACTTTATGCTCTTTTAATCACATTATTATATCAGCATGCAGGGTGAGAGGCAGGTTAAATGATGTCTGTTAATGCAGTGTCGGACATTGTATTTGCACTTTTAGTCAAATACTATAAAGATATAAAAAGATTTTACAGTTACAGAGTTACAGTTGGGTAAGAAACTGTCTTTTTTTCATTAATTCAGCTTGAGTTCTGTAAACCTGCTCGCTTTAACCGCAGGGGATAGAGGTTATACTTGAATTCCTTAACTTTTTAAGTAATAATCCTATTTTGACAGAGTCAACATGCCTCATTTTTGAATAAGTGGATATAGTCTACGTGTGTATGCTAAGCAGATTTCAGTGTCTTAATGCTTTAAATAGCTTGCTGCATATTTGATGTGGGTGGATCTTGTATCTTTTAGCAGAGCTGCCACTTTTGGACAATGAGATGTTCCATTCTATAAAGCCGGGGTTGTCTGGGTATGCTGACTCCCCTGAAATGGTGAGTTCATTTTCAAATCTAATCAATGATATTGAGCAGAAAGGAAAGGTCTGCTGGCTCTACATTGTATTCAGAAAGGCTGCTGATAGCCTCCCTCAGCGGGGAATCACATTTCGCTAATGAAAGTAGGTAGGAAGTGAGAAGAGCAAAGTGACAAACAAGTGACTGATATGTAACACTTGAAGTGTTTTCACAGCTCTTACCAGTCACCCTGTTGTCAGTGCTGAGCAGTGCTGTGTCGTACTGTTTTTAAAGGCTGCACACACGGTGAGGATGCTGCTGAAGGTGGCCAAGAAGACTGTGCCTCGTCTGGAATGGAAGAGGACTCCAGTGGTGCTCAGAGCCACAGCTGGACTGAGGCTGCTGGCCGCAGAGAAGGCCCAGGCTCTGCTGGAGCAGGTAAAAAAGAGTGCAGAGGTAATGAGACAAGACATACTGTTGGGAGCTCTGCAAAAAAAGAGAGCAGTTTTTTTATTCGGGGAGTTGTTAGGCGCTACATTGTCTGACAGTCTGAAAGGAGTGTGCGACCTCTTATCCATAGAAGGAGCCAGCAGAAAGAAAGGAACATTTCTTCTGCTATGGCAGATAGTTCAGACACAAGAGGAAGAGTATTGTTATCAGAGTGGTGGGAGCTTAGAGTGGAAAGATAGTAATGGATGGCCCTGGGGCACCTTGGAAGATAAGTGATACTTTATTAATCCCCCTGAGGGGATTAATTAATCCCTTCAAGCGGAGGGCACCTCTGGATGAGCTACCATTACAGTAGATGACATTAAGGCCATTTCTCTGCTGCTCCCCCTTTCTCTCTCCCTCTGCTCCCTCTCTTCTTCTTCTCTCTCTCTCTCTAGGTTCAACATGTGTTTGATGAATCTCCTTTTTTGGTCCCAGACAACAGCGTCAGCATAATGAACGGCACCAATGAAGGTAACGTCTGCCCACCCTCTGCCCTGACAAGCAACACTTTCGTCAGTAATCACAGCCACTCATGTTCTCTGCGCAGCGCTTTAGAGGTGGCATCAGAGATTCCTCTGCCCTACTTAAAGAGTGGGGTGTAATTTCTATGATGAATCTGTGTTTACTAAACATTTAACTTAATTACAGGAGATTATCTCTGTCGTTTATGATGACTCTCAGGAAAAGGAACTCACTCTCCAACTCCAAGGTGTTGAAGCTTTAGAAGCTGTGATTATGTGCAGAAAATGTCTGTTGTGCTGCAGTGTCAGTGATTTGTCAGCATTTCAACCTTGTTTTCAGGTATCTTGCGCTTTCTCAAGTGTTCGCACATCTTCGTTTATTAGTATGCCGTCAACAGTAAATTCTATGAAAATTTGTCATCAATTTTTCTGAAATGAACCGATATTTCAGCTGTAATGTCGTATCTCTGTTTGCTTATCTCTTTTATGAAGGAGTCCTGGCTTGGATATCTGTCAACTTTCTGACAGGTGAGTGCTGTAAACTCATATCTGGGCTGTCTGCAATAAAGAAGACAATATATCTTCCCTGATTCTGTTGTATTTTCAGAGCTCAACTACAACTGCATCCAAATGTAATTTAGTGCCTGGGTTTCTCAGTGTCTTATTATAGACCCTGGTTCACACTAACTATGATCAAAATGATTCTGTAGCCCAAAGGGGAAAGCTGTGATATTAATCAGACTCAGTGTTTGGATTTCTTGTTCTTTTTCGACTTGCACATTCTGTATCAAACTGGCCTTTTGAAGATAACATCTTAGGTGTAACTGATTAGCTCCGCTCTGTTGTGGCTGCGGGATTAAAGTGTGGAATGTTTTTAGGTCACCTGAAAGCACAAACGAAGAAGACAGTGGGGATCTTGGATCTGGGAGGAGGATCCACGCAAATCACTTTCCTGCCAAAACTCAGGGTAAGGTGTTTGTTTGCAGATCTGCGTACAAATCACAAAAACTTGTTATTCACTATTTCTTTCTTATTCCACCTCAGAAAACCATCGGAAGTGTTCCTGTTGATGATTACATCGGCAGATTGGACATCTTCAACTCAACATTTGAACTGTACACCCACAGGTAACAGATTTAGTGGTATGTGTCATATTACAGTTTTACTACTTGTGACCATATCAGTTGTTTCTATTCAAAAGGATTTATTTTTATTTTTAAGTAGCTTACTCTGACCGACTTGTCACAGCAGTAATGCAGAAATTCATGTTGAAACTTTTCAACTTGATCTGATTGTTTTTAATTAGGACAGCATCTATTATCTGATTAGTCATTGGGATGTGAATAATAGGCTGACCATTTGTTTGGCCTAATTACAATATGACTTGCGTGGTACATACCCAGTCTGTTCCTGTTCACTATTTTAACTGTTTGACAATCTTATTGTCCTCCATCTAGTTACCTTGGAAATGGTCTGATGGCAGCGCGACTGGCCACACTAGGCGCTCTGGGTGCAGAAGGTACTGTGCTTACATGATGAAAAGGTGGCCTGTCGCCATTAGCTGTGGGTCAGAGTTGTTCATTGTGTGTGTGTCCCTGATGGAGACAAAACATTGAGTCAGTTCTCCAAGCACTCTCTCCTGCCTGCATCTTCCTCCAAACACTCAGTAGAAGGGGGTTAAACTTGTTATCGTAGTAAGTCTTTTCTGTCCACTAAACAATTCAACCCAAACCCTGAGATGAATCACTGAAGAGCTTCAGGGGAAATCGAGTTGGTCCCCAGTTCTTGAGACATACTCAGACCACAGTAACCATTAGTGAAGCAGTTGAGTCAGTCAGAAAATTAAATGAGTCATGTTTCTGCTCTCACAGGGTTGGAGTGGCGGGTTTTCAAAAGTTCCTGCCTGCCAAAGAAGTTCAGGGACAAATGGACTTTTGGAGGGCTGACCTATCAAGTCAGCGGGCACCCAGATGGTAAGATCCTGTTGATGTGTTGTAAGTGAGTTTAGACAATTCAGAGCTATTAGTGTGGGAATAAACAATTTTAAAAATCCCTTTGAAGTTCATTGTGATGGGTTTAACCTTACACTACAAACACACAGAGGGAATCAGAATGACACATTTGAGCAAACACAGAACTCCCAACTTGTGTGATAGCAGCCAAACATCCGTAATAAAGCTTTTAAAGCCCATTAAAATGGACTTAGCGGTATTACACATCATTTCATGTTGTTGTTCCAGTGAAAGATGCATAATTCACACGGCTGTCTCTGTTTTCTCTCCAGGTTATTCAGGATACAAGCTCTGTTATCAGGAGGTACTCAAGGTGGTGAAGGGGATTATTCATCAGCCCTACGAGCTGGAAGACAGCAGCGTCTTCTATGCGTTCTCCTATTACTTTGACAGAGCGGTGGATGCAGGCCTTATCGGTGAGCACACACTCTCACACACACACACACACCTTACATAATTATACAGACCCAGCAGGATGTTATTACCCATCCCAGTGCCAGACACAGGCAGGACAATTTGAGTCATCAGCACCTGTCTCTGTGGATTTGACGAGTTATAGGTGTGCAGGTATTAGAGAAATTGCTATCCTCTGCCAGTCTGAAAGGGCACCTGTGCTGTTATTAGTATTAAGGGAATGTAAATGTAGATCTTCTCTCGCAATGATAGGTATAGCATTTCAATGTAAGAAAATTACCCAAATCCCCCCCCCCCCCCTCCCATGTTGCAGATGGGGTCCAAGGAGGGTTGCTGGAGGTCAGACACTTCAAGAAGAGAGCTAAAGAGGGTGAGAACCAATGCATGGTAACAATGACAGATCTGCAGCTCTATGTACTTGAGACACAGTGCGCATCTCAACTGTCTGGACGAGTGTCCTCGCTGCTTTCTGAAATCCTGCCCTCAGCCTCTCAGCAGAATACAGATGACTGATTACCCATCCTAACAGACACAACTCCCCCCTCTGTCTGCCTAGTGTGCAATAAGATGACCAAGAACCCTCCCATCAGTTCTTTCCTCTGCATGGACATGACCTACATCACTTGTCTGCTCAAGGACGGGTTTGGTTTCAAGGAGAGCACCGTGCTGCAGGTGAGGCAGAACTTACAACATGTGATTAACAGAGGCAATACAAAGTAAAGCTCATTTTATATGGTTGTTAATTATTGTAAAATTCACTTCTCACGTATGAAGTTGTGTTGTTCAGTTTAAAAAAATTTAGGAATCAAAAGCTATGAACTCTTATTTAAATACATGAGTGCATTTAAAATAGCCTCCATTCAGTATTTGTTTCTATGATTTAAATAGATTATCGATGATGAGACTAAAAATGTGACATTTGAGAAAACACAAAATGTACTTTTTAATTAAAGTTGCACTACAAAATCTCCTGAAAAGATTGAGTCCCTGACTTTGTACAAAAATTAGAAAAAACAGGAGCAAATAAAAAAAGAAATCATAAAAGACACAAACATTGTTATTTTTTTTAATTCAATAAATACAAAAGGCATTTAAGTGATTTGGTGTTGGGTTTCCCCCCCCCTCTAGTTGACCAAGAAAGTGAACAACGTGGAGGCAAGCTGGGCTTTAGGCGCCACATTGGATCACTTCCACAACCTGAAGATCCACTGAGGAGGAGGACGAGGAGGAGGAGGAGGAGGAGGAGGAGGAGGAGGAGGAGGAGGAGGAACAAACACTGCTCATAGTGGGCACTGCCTTATCTACCAGCCTCAGACATCTGCTGTTTATTTTTGTCTAACCTCATGTGTAATTTGTCATTTCATTTAAAAAGCAATTATTCTCAAGTGTTAATACATTGAGCTGTAAATGAGCAATGTGTGCCTTACTCAGAGAACAAGTGGAGCGCTGGAGGTCCACACTTGGGAGTGGAAGAAGTTAACCAATACCACGCTCACGCTGAGTCAAGCAGATTTGGGCATTTTGTTTCAGATGGAAGTTTCTGTGTGTGGTTGTGACCAGTGTTTACATGCAGCAGTGTGATATACTGAGCTGTAACAGGTTTTTCTTATCAGTGATACAGATAATAACGTATTCTCTTTCCTGGTGCATTTCAATTTGACCGTCAACTTAATCAGCTCTGGCAGGACTCAGTTTCTACCAGAGAATATCATCACTACATTTCAACTTCAGACTTGTTTACAATGATGTTTTTTAGAACAATGCATGGTCATAATATATTTTCATAAACTTTTAAACCCGTCTCAGTTTTTCTTTGGGAGTATCTGAGTTCAAAAACTTGAGGAAAAATGTTGTTTGTACAAGCGTCGCCATTTCTCACTTTTCAAAATAAAACCATCATCCGTTGCTAATTACAGATATCTACAGGGGTTAAAGTCCTTGATTATTCTATATACAAATACAAGTCTACATTTAGTCCTCTCTGACTGACAGTGTAGTTCTGCAGAAAATGGCAGTGTGTGTGTGTGTGTGTGTAATATTTCATGATGGCAGCCTACAGCAGCGCCACCACATCTTCTCCATATGCATGGCCTTCAGTCGTCATGGTCACCAATTCATGTGGCTGTGAGAGAACTACCACTGAGCCTGCGGAGCCTGGAGGGACACAAAGGAGAGGAGGTAAAGAGAAACCAACTGTGAGCATGAAATATGACAAACAGTGAGTCACCTATCAATCTTACAGTATATGTTCAGAATGCTAAGCTACGTCCGTGATGAGAGGACAAAACTCTAAAATTACATTTGTCCTTGAGTTTCTGAATGCTCTCACCTGGTTATACTTCATTGTTTAAATGCTGACAGGCCAATTTAATAAAAACAGAAGGACATTCAATGATCCCTTTAATGAGCCTATAAAAACATTCAGAGTAAAACACCAAGGGAGTGGAGGGGTTGCATATCGACTATGAAATGCAGATTAGAGGGGAAAAAATCTCAGAGTTAAAATCAACAGATAAATGCTATAAGCTCTTTTTAAATATGCAACAAAGTAAAACTACCAATTTAAATATTGACAAAAAATGGAACTGTAGGCCTTTCTTACAACAAAGGGACACACAACAAAGCAGAACCAAAGTTTTGTGTTTTTATTTGTTGAAACTGTCAAAAGTGTCGACTGAACTGTTGCTTTTTTTGCAGTGCTGCCTGTTACATAAATACCTTATTAAGTAAATTGCACCATGAGGTAATAATATTCTAATTGTGACCCCCATTTTCATTTAGCGCTGCAGCTCTCTGGTGTTTGGCAGAAGTTGTCAATATTTCTTTGAAGTTTAGATCACAGAAAATCCAGTCGGACAAAAAGAAATGGGAATGTAAGCCAAGGAAATAAACTTATAATTCAAGAGACTTTACTATTAAAAAAGTAATCCCCTAAACGTGGTTATCCTGTGTTTGTTGGAGAGGATAGATACATTGTACAACCATAAGAGTTACATTTATAAACCTGAGGCTGTGTCATTTTGACAGCTAGAGACCGACAGTGTAGCAGAATTCAAATTGTAAAATATGATCATATATGTTACAGTCAAAGTGTTTTTAGTGACTTCTATCTGTAATGTAATCAGCTGGTAAGTGTTTCTGGAGCAAACAGCAGGACTACAACAAAGAGAGAAAGAGGCGACAGATGGGAGAGAAACATCCAGAGTATAAATAGCATCACAATACCCAAACATATGTATTTATGTGCCAACGGCAGGGAAGCAGGTGTTACATTTAGCAGAATCACTAAGGTTCATCCTGAATCTACTAGCAGGCTGAGGTTTTCTCCGTGCAGAGATGTGTCATCACTGAACTGGTTGGCAACACTTTTAGAAGATTTTTGTCCCTTTTTCTTCTTGCAAAATTACATCTTTCTCTTTCTTTTTTTTTTACAACCTTTAAACCTGAAATCTAGATGACACCATTTTTTCTTACACGAGTGAGAAGTTTAAGATTGAGGTACCGACAGGTTGTTTGTTTAAAATCTGAAAAGAGTTTTTAAGGCAACGAAAGCAAAGCAGAGGTACAGTATGAAAGATCTGACAGCTGCTCTCTGATTGGTTAGTTTGTTTGCTTCCAGGAAAACATCTCAAAGTCATGAAAACACACAAAAGCTGCTTGAAAAGAAGTGGCTACACAAAGAACACCAGCACAATTACAAAAAAAGAAATAAAAGAAACATCAGAGAGAAAGACAGCAGCTCGTCAGCTCGACTCAGCACTTCTGACATTAACATTAACACAGTGTACAGCGGGCTGATTGGGCTGTGAGACGTCATATCTTACCTGGTGATCTCAGCATAGCGTGGTGGAGGTTCATGGGCTCTACAGCTGTTGTCATGGTGACCATATCATCTGCATTTTCACCATCTGCCTCCAGCAGGCTGCTTTGTGTGAGAGCCTCACCTGTCGGACACAAACAGGCAACAAACGTTTGACATGGTGTGTTCCTTTACTTTTCAAACTTCAATAATAGTCTACACACACATTTCCAAACATGTCTGTAGATTTTTATTTGATAAGAGTAATCATACCTTCATGTTCATAATTCGTGTTCACATTTGAAATGTCTCCTTGTTTCTTGTTTAGTGGCTGTGCAGTCCACGCTAATGTTATAAAGGTGATGTAATCATCAATAATCTCTGGCCACAGAGGAAGTAAACAAACTGCTGTTAACGCTATTACTTTTCCTGATCAAACTAAATTCATTTGAGATTATTAGCCGTTCTTTATTTTTCCATACATCACATGTCATTTTTTTCTTGTCTGTTAGATTTCTTACTCTGAAAATAAAGGCTAAATTTTTTTCCCTGGTTCATTTTTCCATATCATATCATATTAAATAAATATTCAATTAATGATTTCGCTATTTGTCTGGGCTCTTAAAAATTAAACTAAAATAGTGATTCACAGACTTTGGTGTTAGCCGATCAAAGTTCTTTAAATGAACTTTGTAGTGATTTAATTGACTGGTGTACTCACCAATATCCAGTTATAGTCTGATACAGATACTGGTTCAGTATCATTCTGTATTGAACCTCTCTCAGACACATGTATAGATTCGGTTAGTTTTCAGGCACTTAGGATAGAGCCGTGCGTAAAGCCGCAGACGCAGCTTTAAATAGGACAGTGTGCTAAGTTACACACTACACTACTGGCTCTTTAACAGAATGGAAAACATGTTGGCAACAATGTTGACCTGCTTCAAACACCATGACAAACACTCTGCTTGTATGATCAACTTCTCAGAAGTTCACAAGTACACGGTACTCTGTTTTATACTCATCCAGCCCTGAAAACAACAGTAATCCACTATACTTTTCATTCTTTTCATGAACCCTATTTTAGGATAAACACTTGTCTGAGACATCAGTGTTCCAAAGTGAAATCTGCTCATTACTTCCAACTTTTAAAGTTACCTTTTGACGCCTTTTCTTGGGGTTGTTTTTAGGACTGTCCTTATTCCAACAAAGTCGATTTAATAATTCATCTGGTATAAATAACACAGAGTCTCCCCCTCTGTTGTGAAGCTACATCTTTCTTTTTGCTCCGTTTTTTTACAAAAGACCAACGTCTTTGGGGAGGCTGACCCGAATAAATCTGCTGTTTATAATTAGAGCTTTGGCAGCCGTTTCCTCTGTGGTGATTCAGCTGCCGTGCTTCCCACTGCTACACAAATGTGACAAGGAGGAAAACACTCTGTCTGCTCTCATGTTTCATGCCAAGAAGACAACCTAATTTAAGCTGATTTTGTACAATTAGACACTATGTTTGAACATACAGAGCTCATTGAGAGATGCTTTTATTCTGAAGCGGTACTGGAGCCGATACTGAGAATAGAGGCAGGAGTGAACAGTGGTGCATTTCTCCACAGCTGCAGTGGGTGGATCTACACAAACACCCACTCATTTATCAGAGTAATTTGTTCGTTGACGGCAAAAGGAGCTTGAAGACATGAGTTTTAGTTATTGTGCCGTTTTAATTTGGTGATTACAGACAAATCTGACCCCATCACAAGATGCCCGACAGGCCTCTCTAGCTCTGCTATCTCTGTTCTTCTAGAGATATGAGCCGTCTGAAACGATTCAGCTACTAAGCCTGAAGAATAAAAATCTTCATGATTAATTTTTAAATGCTAAAAAGGCATTCATTATTCAAGTAATGTTCCTAAATGTAACTTAAACCAACACTTTCTCTGTGCACTTTTTTTAAATGTATGTGCTGCTTGGAGCTGCATAATCCATGGATTAGCATTACTGCCTCCTGCACAGGGTGTGTGTGTGTTACTGTGTGTGTGTGTGTTTGAAGGAAAAGAATAATGCCAGTGAGAAAGACCTGTTTCTCTGCTTTCAGTGCTGAGCCCCTCCTCTCCGTGCCTCTTCCTCATGTGGACGTTCCTGCTGCCCGACTGAGAAACGTCTTCCCACAAATCCCACAGTGATGAGGCTTTCGCCTGGGACACGACGGACAACAAACATAAAGAGATGTGAAATTATGTGATCCTGCTTTGAACTGGTGCAGCATGCATCTCGTCAAGGCAAAACAGGATATAGTGGATTTTGGAGGGCGCTAATTAAAAAAAACAGTGCTGGGACGTTCCACCTGTAAAATCTGTTCCACTCACCAGAATGAACGAGCATGTGTTTCCTCAGACTGGAATACTCTGCAAAGGATCGCCCACATCCATCTGCTTCACACAGAAAAGGCTTCTCTCCTGGAAGCAGCCGCCCACCCCCCAAAACACACAAGCACGAGCACACACACACACAGAACTCCATTTAACAAAGATTTACAAATATACAAAGCATTACTTTGCAGAACTGCATGCATTCAATTATTGGATGAGAATATGGGAAAATGGATTTAAACAGCTCAAAGCAGTCTGGAGGTGTTGAACGCAGCTCTTTTCCTGTTTATTTTACCCACAGTGACAGCCGACCTAATTTGACTCAAACTAAATTATATAATATTTAAAAAATCTAATCCATCTTCAAATGTTTCTTTACCATTTATTTTTCTTTTCTGATACCAACTCAAAGACCTGAATTTGTGAAACGGCTGACACAGAGTATGAATATGGTTCAAGTAAGCTAAAAAAAGATACATATGATTATTGTTACGCCAGGTGCAAGGCATGAGGAAGTTCTGTGATGTGTGATAACACTGCAGCTGCCTGTTAGTTAGAGCTACGATGGTGTGAGTGCATGGTGCAAGAATCATGCTCTTCATCGGATAGGTCAATTGTTGGCTTGCAGATGTGACTCAGTGGATGTACATTACACTTAATGTATGTGATAAAGGCAGTATTTTGTTTATATTGTGCATGATTACATCAAAATTGACTTGCAAGTGATTGTGCAGCCCTGAGTTTTACCATCTGTAGGTCTGTGCTTTCACCCTGTATGATAACACTAGTTTCAGCCTTTGCATACTGTACGCATGTTATTTTACTGTCGGGGTTTTTCAGGGTGATTATTGCCAAGTTACTGTCAGCCTGCTTCCAATGACTAACTTTACAATGTCTGCTGGCTCTACGCCGTTTGTAGTAGTTTCAAGAAGCAGCTCAGAAGAATGTATTCATGTTGAAAGAAAAGAATTTATTTTGACATTTCTGATAGCAGTATCCATATCGGAAAGACTTTATATTCAATTAAGTTGATCTAATAGCTCATAGAGAGCAGTTCTTCCAGACTTGTGGGTAGATATAAACACTATTTAGTTGATCTGCTGAAGAGTCCCTAGAAAGAAGACGCAGACTGTCTATCAGAAATATTAATGTCACCTTAAATAAAACATGACAGAGGACTGATACTCGAATGCAGCAGTGAATCGGAGGCGCCAGTGCTGCTGACTCTTCACATCTCCACCTTGACTGCACCTTCCAAGCATTAAATGAGCGCAGTCTAATGGTCTGACTCAGTTATTGCTTTCAGCATGTTGGTGCTTTTATATGTATGTGTCTCCCGCTCCCCACCTGTGTGTGTGCGTCTGTGGTTCTTTAGGTTCCCAGCAGTGGTGAACTTCTTGCCGCAGTTCTTCTCCTTGCAGATGAAGGGCTTCTCGCCGTTGTGGGTCCTCATGTGAACTTGCAGCCTCTGCAGCACGTAGAAGCTCTTCCCGCAGCCCTCTGCGCCACACCTGAACATTCGGTCGTTCCTGTGAGAAAACCGAACAAACGAGCCTCAGCGCCTCCCCGCACACAAGATTAATTCAGAGCCCACCTCGAGGTCAGACGGGGCAACCACAAGAAGATTTCCTGCACGTGGTGTGAAGACAACACCTGATGCACGAGTGTACATTTCTTTTCAAGTTTCAGCTGTGATTCTTCCAGAGAGGCAGAGAGTTTTTAAGTTAAAAACCTGTGGAAACACTGTGATCACTCAGCTGTAAAACATCTGTACAGCTCCACTCCGACACCTAGTCTCCTAGAGGCCTGAGGATAACATATTTAATCACTATTTACTCAGATTTCTCCAGAGTTGTACAGTTAACGCCTCTGAAGTAATATAACATAGAATGATATAGCCACATCGTCTGAAATACCAAAGCAACTATTCTTGTTTGTTTATTTTGGGGCATTTTTAACACAGATTGAAATGCTATACAGAACTCCTTCTGTTGTATATAAATGTTTGGTATTCTGGGAATAATAACAACCTTCATACTTACCGTATGTTTTACAGGTAATAATGGCTTTGATTTTCCCTTAACAGTTCAGTTTGATTGCTCTTATTACATTTAAAAGTGACAGTGTGTAATGGCTGTATTAGCCTGCAAGCTTGTACTATTATTTTTCAATTTGGTAAATGTATCCACATTAGCTAGGCTTTGCACATGGTTGAATATTGATGGCAGCAGCAACTTGTAGGAACTGCTGCCTGGAGCCATTATCTTCAACTGCTGTGCATGTGTGTGTGATGTGTTAAATGTGTGTGTGATGTGTTAAATGTGTGTGTGATGTGTTAAATGTGTGTGTCATGTGTTACCTGTGTGTTCGTGATGTGTTAAATGTGTGTGTGATGTGTTACCTGTGTGTTCATGATGTGTTAAATGTGTGTGTGATGTGTTACCTGTGTGTTTTGAGGTGGTATTTGAGATGAGCCGGCCAGGTGAAAGTCCTGCAGCATCCCTCAAACGAACAGCGGAGGATCTGCTTGGAGAGGGGGCGGCTGGTCCGAGGCGGGAGCTCTCGCTTGTCCCCCTCTGCTATCAAACTGTGCGTGTGGTCACCTAGGCAACAGGAAGAGGAAAGTGAGCGGGGTTGTGCAAAAAACAATCCAGGAGTTGCCAGGTGGTCGGCCTCTGGAGCCCGGCCGTATAAAAAGCTAATCACTGCATAGTGACTGAGACCTGCTGAACAACTGCTGCCAGAAGAAAACAACCTGAAACTGAACGCAATCACTTGCTTTTGACCTGCTCAGACTCCCCACTTTGAACACTGTTAACAGGTCCAATTTTGCTTACAGCGTGTCTGCAGTAATGCAGCCATAAGTGAAACCCCACTGCTGAAAGAAACTTGTCTAATCTAATGCGAGTTGGTGGGAGGGCAGCTATTACAGCGGCTCAGATAGAGGAGTTTTTAGTCCCACACTGAAATCAGTTACAGCCTGCTGCAGACTTCTCATTTACCAATGTGCTCATTACTTCAGGCCCTTTCTTTACTACCACAGCATCTCCCAAGAACACTATATATCTTACATTGTGCTAAAATATAACATCATTGTCTTGGTAAACCTGATAAAAGACATACAAGATCGGATCCAGAAATACGTTACCTTCTTTCCTTTGAACCATTTTTTCCCTCGATCTTAAACAAGCTTAAAGAGGGCAAAACAAATGTGGAGCAGGTAAGGGGATCACCTGTCAGGCTGAAACCCATAATGATCTCTTTTGCCAAAGGAAAGGAAACACCTAATCAACTTTCTAAAGCACATTGGGAAAAGGACCTAAACCATGTTTCAAAATACAAAGGTGAATTCACTAAGACTGGATTGTGTGTTTGATTGTGTGTGCTTCAACGGATGATGAAGTGAAACGAGAGGGGCCACTTCTTACCGGTTTAAATCCAGATTCAATAGATAAAGTGCAAGTTCATATGTTTATACAACAAGCCTCCTTCGACGACAAAGCCAGTAGCTTGTCCAGATTAAAAAAACTAAAAACCTACTCATCGCTCTCCTGCACAATGGCCAAGACACTTCATACTAGGGCCAGACAGATGTGGGATTTTTGGTGCAGATACCGATATTGCGGAAGGGAAAAAAATTTGATACAGATATATGGGCTTATATCTTTCTAAGATCAATGTTCGATCTGTAGAGATAGATAGATAAGACACATTTATTGTGTTGATCCCTCAAATTCAGTTCTCAAACACTTGTGTAAAAGATGTACACAGTATAATGTAGACAAGACGGTCACTCCACCGAAAAGTAACTGGGCATGTACGTGCATCACCGCTTGACATTCTGGAGAGTGGTAATGTTTGTTGTAGTCCATATAGCACCCTCTGCTGGTGACAGCTAGAAAGAGAACTGCTAGTGTGATACAATGAAAACAATGAAAACAAATTAAATGCTATTTGACTTGTAAAGAATTCTCATAAAATCGGCGCATTTCTGCGATAAAATTAGCCGATACCGATATTCACTGGACAAGCCAACAATAGGTCAGACTCTTCTTCACACATGTTAAAGTGTGCCTGTATGTGCTGTGGTCTCTGACAGCCCTGGATGGATTTAACCCTTTAATATAATGATTTAAGTGATTTTAATGGAATACCTTTAAACTTTATTTACAGATAATTTAATTTTAAAATTTAATTTTTTAAATTTATTTTAAGAATAAGTAATTTAAATACCTGTTAGTAAGTAATTAAAATATTTTTTCAGTCTATCTGTCTGTTAGCCCCTTTATTTGTGGATGACAGTTTTTTGCTTTAAGGCTCATTTGCATAGAAAGGGGGACAATCTTAGCCCAAAGACTGCATAATGGCTCAGTTAAACAAGTTCATGCAGCACCAGAGCACAGTGATGCTGTTTGCTCTGCAGCACAGTTTGGGGTGCATTTTACTCTACAAGTGTGCTTTGTGGATCAGGCCCACAGTAAATTTAAATTATAAGTCAACAGCTGCCAGATGTGCTGGAAAAAGACATCACAAAACATCTGAGACAAAAGGCCACAAAGACAAAGTGCAGAACTATTTCTGAGGCTGTTGTGAAAGATATATTTTGATAGTGACAGCAGGGCAGTGTACTGCTGTGTCTTTATCTTATTTCAGGAAAATTGCCCAAACATCACACCATCATTAGGATAATATCTGTATCAAAACATTTACTCTTTTATGTTCCAAGGACTGTGAGAACTGCAACTGGATTCATCTCACTGCCTGTAACATCCAATACCAGAGCACTGCTTCTTGTGCAATCTGAGGGAATTAAGCTTTGCCAATATATAAAATAATAATATCTCCTTAAAGCTAAAAAAAAAAAAAAAACACTGCTTAGTCTCTGGCTGTAACACCACTTTTAAAATGTGTTGAGAGCTCTTCTGGAGAACTTTAGACCCTCAAGGCAATTTAAAGAATAAGAATGTCAAGCATGGGATCCAAATGAGCTTTTTCTTGTTTTTCTTTCATTTTATGTTCCCCTTTTTTTCATTCCCCCAAAACATTACCACACACCTGTCTGTTTTTTTTGTTTTTTTTGGGGGGGGGGATGGGGATATGTTCACTGTGCTTTGTGTGTATTTATAAAAGTATTCATAATATGAAATAATAATTTGAAAACAATCTTTTAATGTAAATAACTGATTACAAACCCAAACAGCATTATTGAGAAAGGAAACTTGTATTGCAAAGCATAATAACCCAAAACATTATTTTCTCACAAACCTAAACATTTCCACCAATGAGCGAAGAAGAAACTACAAACGCAGTGAAGCAGAATTGAAGTCAAAGATCCAGAACAAAAGATCCGGGTGTGCAGGAGATAGTCTGGGAGCTGGTAATGATGGGAATAAAACTCACTCCCCTTTCACTTTTCTAACCTGGACCTCCGGCTGCAATTTGGCTCAGAGGGAGTTCAAAGATCAGAGACGTAGCTAGGAGACACGGCATCCTGAATGTCAAGGGTGAAATCTAACTGGCCGCCTGTGGAGGAGAGTTAAAATGTGGTGTGATGCAGCGCAGACTCCTGGTGAGGGTCAACAGCAAAGGAATGTCTGCAGTTCAGATCAGAGAGGGGAGCTGTACAGTGAGGGGGGGAGATTAAATGTAACTTTGAACTGAGAGGGCAACAGATGAGAAGGACATTTTAGCGATATGAGAATCCATAGTAGACAACTGCTGACAGCAAAAGAAGGGTTTGTAAACATATTTATAGCATTTCGTTTCCAAAAACGTTGCCGCTCTAGTGTTTCGACAGCTTTGATTGTGTTTCCATGCCAGCTTTATTCCTCCATTTCAGGTATTTGTGCTAAACTAAGACTGTGGGTAGCTTCATGTTTAGCACACAGACATGAGAGTGGTGTCATTTAACTCTTTCTCGAAAAAACCTAAATAACACATTTCCCAAAATGTCAAACATCTCAGAAAGATCAGATGATCTAATATCCTTCATGTGACATTTTCCTGATGTCTTGTTTTATCACCTGTACACATCTTGTCCTGTCGTCTAACCTGCATCCATCTGCTAACTGCTGCCTCACACTCTCTCTCTCTCCGTCTCTGGAGCCCGCATTAGTCACATTACTAAACGCACATTAAATCATCAGAGACATGGCACACCGAAAGGTACTTAAGCGCGATCAATGTTTCACGATAATGGGGCGCTGACAACTATGCTGGATATTTGCAGACAGATTTGTAAATCTATGAAGACAAAGCAACAAATTCATTTTGATTGAGAGACTTCTGATCAGGAGTGCTGAACACAGTTTCAGTCGGTGCTGATTACACCACATTTTCATCTCACTGCTGACCTCATTTCTCTTCTTTCTGTCTTTGATGCCTGCCGTAAGTAGACCAGCTGATGTTATCTCACACTAAAATGTGCTGCCTCCTGCACACGAGCCTCATTTCTATTTAATTCTCTCTTTTTTTAGCCTTAACCGTCACAGACTGCTAGCTTTGAAGCACATACAACTAACACTGCCCACATCCTTCAACGCATTTCTTCCGTCTAACTTACTTTTCAGGCCATTACTGCTTGCGCTGATAAAACAAAGTCACTTTACCATTACTGACACTTGCTGCTCTGGCGTCCTGGCTGGCCTTGGCATCTCTCGCAAGCTGCGCCCGTGTGGCGGCAATCAGGCTGTCATGTGCCAGCTCCTGTACTCGCAGATACCAGGGAGCGCTGACATCCATCCCATAGTCCCCTGATGAGACCACCTCATCATCATCCTCACCGGGGCCATCTGCGGCGAAGATCAGCGACTCAGAGGAAGCTGTGATGCCTGCCGGGGGAAGAAAAGGCAGAAGGACAATCATTGTGAAACAGGGGAACTCAAGGCCATCGCAGAAGTCTGCAGGATCATCAATGATCCAAGTCCCTTAAGGTCATGTCCCTGAATTCATTATTATTCACCAATCCCACTCAGCAGTTTGGGTTGATGTTTTACTCTGAATGGCTAAGAGGCTGCTGGCAAACAGACACGTACACCCACTGAAAACAACACAATCCCCCTTTATTCAAGATTTGAATTCAAAGTAACAAAAGGCAGAAAGTGATTCTGCCTTCTGAAAGTCTTTTCTATCTGTCACATCGCTCACTGAGTCACAGACTGAACATAGCGCTGCACAAAAGGTGCATGTCAAGGGACCAAAATTAATTTTCTGGCTCTATTGCCAAGGGCTGATGAACCAAGAGAATGTGCCTGCCAAGGATCATTTCTTCCAGCCAAAATAATTCACAGTTTTCTTCATGAAAATGTGTCACCCCATTTCTTTTTAGCTCTCCGTGTAGAATCAGGAGCCGTGCGAGACACAAAGTGCATACAAAAAAACAGATTTAAAGTTTTAATGTGAAACTTCTCAGCCTTCTGAAACGATGTTTGAAAACCATCAGGAAGTAAGTCATCTTACAGGAATAAAGCTTTGATTGATCGTAACGAATGTGGAAAAAGCCGATCACTGTTGCAGACAGGAGGAGTTTGTCTTACTGAAGTTAGCACCACATTTGTGCATGGTGGGTGTAAATTCAAGAATGTGTTCATATGAATAGTTAAGGGTTGGTTAGTTCTTTTACCTTTGGCAAGGTTGAGCAGGACATATGAAGGGCTGTCCGACTGCTGCAGGTCGTGGAGGATGGGTGGGGGACTGGGTGAGGCCTGTGGATGAGAGTGTGTCTGGACCACCAATGGGCCTCGCTCCGACACGCCTCCAAACTCTGACAGTGAGGGTGAACTCTGAGGATCATGGCTAAGGCCTCCATCTGAGGAGAAAATGAAGAGTTTCAATCTCTGCAAGTTATCAGCAAATAAATGCCCAAACCAACCCAGCTTGATAAAACTCCTCATTTTATATATATATATATATATATATATATATATATATAAAAATAAATAAAAAAAACACATATTTATGGTAAGTTATGGATGTCGTGTCTCTTGAATAGCTGAAGCCGCTGGTGTTTTGTTCTGACGGGTTTTAACTTCACTTAAAAACTGTTCTTTCCATAGCAGAGTCGGATCTTGTAAGACTATTTTATTAACACAGGGAAGAAAGCAGTTCAACACATACGTTTCAAACATAAAGGTTACAGAGATGTTGTGACGACAGAATATACCACAGATACTGTGGGAACACTGCATTACATAAACAACAAACTTCAGGTATCCAGAGATGTTTTAAAACTTGATTTCAAATCACTAGATGGGCATTTTCCTCCATATTTATTGTTTAGTAGACTGCTGACACTAGCTGCTGCGTGCGCCCCCCCCCGACCCCCCTCAAACAAATAATCACAGCACTTCATTCATTACTGCTCTACACTGTTTACCGAGTACTGAACCTAACACCTGCTATGCACTTTCTTTCTTAGAGCTTTTTATTTTTTAGACTTTAGAGTGTTTAACTTTTGTTTTTATGACTTTTATCATAACAATATTAATTTCTCTGTCTGTCTGTATGAGCTGCCACTGACAAGAGCTGCTAAACTGGCTTTAGCTGTTTTTCTAGAAATGACAATAAAGATCTATTCTATTCTAGTCTAGTAAAAGACGACTGATCTTGACATAAAAAAGATGCAACTCTATCTCACAACTGTCGTTCATGTATGCATTATCATGCAAAACAAGATCCAGATGCAAATAGAAATAATATCGGAAAACAATTGTAAAACCTCATATATCTGATTTTATCACTATTTATTATAATCGCTTGGGGAGTTATAACAAGTTGTGATCATAATATTAACATATCAGCATATGTTTAACTGTTATAGAAGTAAAAATCTCACTTCTTTACGCATGTTGAACATTTGAAACAGAATGTTATCTCACTGGCTGTCATGCTAAACTCAGTCCAGTCAGTCAAATTCAGTGTTGCTGCTTAATGCTCCACATTTCTGCTGGTGCTGAGCAGACACTGAAGATTGGATTTAAAAATTACTTCACTGAAAACTTAAATAAGCTATTCGAGAAATGAGAATTAAGAAACTATTTGATTTGTGTGCCAAACTAGGAAATAAAAATAAAAACTTAAACGGTCTATAGAGCGGCCATAAAGATGAGGGGAGCTACAGATTCAGGTGATAATACTTTCATCACTACAAATAGCTTTCACATTTATTTACCTCTTTTATTATTTGATGCAGTTACTACATAGTTATTTCAAACATATTACATATATTTCATCATTTTGAGATCAGAAAAAAAGATTCAGAAACTGTTTGGCACTGGGTGTATCTTCAATGCAGACATTCAAAACGTTGTGATGTTAAGCTCCACAGTTTCTCATGTTATATGAACAGATATGAATATTAAAGCAAATAGGATAGTCTTTCAGTGGAAATTGCAAACTCCCTATGTGGTGTGAACAACAAGAGTTCTGAAGTGCACTTGTATGTAATTTAGGCTTTGGAGATGTCAAATTTGAGGGATAGCTGTTAAACTACAACTATACGCTATGTCGCAACAATAAAGGAGACAGTGATATAACTAAACAACAACTGAATCACCAGTGGTACAATGCGGCATACAGTAACCCTGAAAACAACTCAACTCTGAACACCACTGATGGTATTTAGCTGCTGACCTGTGAGCTCGAGCGGGCTGCACAGTGTGCTCTCAGCCGGGGCCAGCAGAGGCAGGCAACAGTGTTTGGACTCTGAGTCCTCCAGACCCTGCACAAGAGGGATGGACGCGTTCTGTACAAACTGCACCAGCAGCTGAGCAGAAAGAAAGAGACACAACTTTTAAAACATTGTACAGTAATGGTTTTAAGTTTTATTTAATGTCACAACAACAGTCTCTCCCCCCCGTAATAAAGGACCTGCGCATAAAGATATGATGACAGGAGTACCTCTGGTTTGGCGTCAAGCTCATCAGAAAGCATGGGTCGCCCTGTGTGGAACCTGCAGAATAGAATCAGCTGCTTACACACACACACACACAAGGAATTTGTCTTCAGCAACAATAAAAGGATAACACTGGTTAATGCAACATGCTGCAGAGTGTGATACTGGAGGAAGTCTAATTCAAACAATAATTACCTCAAATGTGACCTGCTGAATGTGGGATAGTGTGTTGGTCATGCGCGAAGGCTGTAAGTCATCTTTTAGTCCAAACCATCACACAAACATCACACATCACACAAACATCACACAAACCATCACACAAACCATCACACAACACAAACATCACACAAACATCACACAAACATCACACAAACATCACACAAACATCACAAACATCACACAAACAATCACACAAACATCACACAAACAATCACACAAACATCACACAAACATCACACAAACAATCACACAAACAATCACACAAACATCACACAAACCATCACACAAACATCACACAAACATCACACAAACATCACACAAACAATCACACAAACAATCACACAAACCATCACACAAACATCACACAAACCATCACACAAACAATCACACAAACATCACACAAATCACACAACATCACACAAACAATCACACAAAACAATCACACAAACATCACACAAACAATCACACAAACAATCACACAAACATCACACAAACAATCACACAAACAATCACACAAACATCACACAAACATCACACAAACAATCACACAAACAATCACACAAACATATCACACAAACATCACACAAAACAATCACACAAACATCACACAAACAATCACACAAACAATCACACAAACATCACACAAACCATCACACAAACCATCACACAAACCATCACACAAACCATCACACAAACATCACACAAACATCACACAAACAATCACACAAACCATCACACAAACAATCACACAAACAATCACACAAACATCACACAAACAATCACACAAACAATCACACAAACATATCACACAACATCACACAAACAATCACACAAACATCACACAAACAATCACACAAACAATCACACAAACATCACACAAACAATCACACAAACAATCACACAAACATCACACAAACCATCACACAAACCATCACACAAACCATCACACAAACAATCACACAAACATCACACAAACATCACACAAACATCACACAAACATCACACAAACAATCACACAAACAATCACACAAACATATCACACAAACATCACACAAACATCACACAAACATCACACAAACAATCACACAAACATATCACACAAACATCACACAAACATCACACAAACATCACACAAACAATCACACAAACAATCACACAAACATATCACACAAACATCACACAAACATCACACAAACAATCACACAAACAATCACACAAACATCACACAAACATCACACAAACATCACACAAACAATCACACAAACAATCACACAAACATATCACACAAACATCACACAAACATATCACACAAACATCACACAAACATCACACAAACATCACACAAACAATCACACAAACAATCACACAAACATATCACACAAACATCACACAAAACAATCACACAAACATCACACAAACAATCACACAAACAATCACACAAACATCACACAAACCATCACACAAACCATCACACAAACATCACACAAACAATCACACAAACATCACACAAACATCACACAAACAATCACACAAACCATCACACAAACAATCACACAAACAATCACACAAACATCACACAAACCATCACACAAACAATCACACAAACCATCACACAAACCATCACACAAACCATCACACAAACATCACACAAACAATCACACAAACATCACACAAACATCACACAAACAATCACACAAACATCACACAAACAATCACACAAACATCACACAAACAATCACACAAACATCACACAAACAATCACACAAACATCACACAAACCATCACACAAACAATCACACAAACCATCACACAAACCATCACACAAACCATCACACAAACAATCACACAAACATCACACAAACATCACACAAACAATCACACAAACAATCACACAAACCATCACACAAACATCACACAAACCATCACACAAACATCACACAAACAATCACACAAACATCACACAAACAATCACACAAACATCACACAAACAATCACACAAACATCACACAAACAATCACACAAACATCACACAAACCATCACACAAACCATCACACAAACAATCACACAAACATCACACAAACAATCACACAAACATCACACAAACCATCACACAAACAATCACACAAACATCACACAAACATCACACAAACATCACACAAACAATCACACAAACCATCACACAAACCATCACACAAACATCACACAAACATCACACAAACATCACACAAACATCACACAAACAATCACACAAACATCACACACAATCACACAAACATCACACAAACATCACACAAACAATCACACAAACATCACACAAACAATCACACAAACATCACACAAACATCACACAAACCATCACACAAACATCACACAAACATCACACAAACCATCACACAAACAATCACACAAACATCACACAAACATCACACAAACCATCACACAAACAATCACACAAACCATCACACAAACCATCACACAAACATCACACAAACATCACACAAACATCACACAAACATCACACAAACAATCACACAAACATCACACAAACAATCACACAAACAATCACACAAAACAAGATTATTATCTGCTCTACCTCACATTTTCTATTTTAACTGTCCAAATAAGAAGCTTTTCAAATGAGTTAACTACATGTATCCTCCACTCTAAAGCCCAGAGTCAGTGTGGGTTGTTTTTGTTGAAGCTGACAGATAAAAAGACTCCGTTATTAACTTAGCTAGCAGGGTTAGCAGTTCACAAACTAGCTACAGGAGCTAGCAGACTGGTGAAGGCGTGCCGGTGTCAAAGCATAGGTCACAACGAAACACCGTGCATATAGGTTAGACTTTTCACATTAAAACCATTGTTTTACCTTGTAATAGTTGTCCGACTTAAGTTATAGAGTGACAGAAGCAAGAAAATAATTGTCCCAGAAGAGAGTAGCAGGTTTGCTCTACGGAATCTCGGGTGGAACAATATTTGTGTACTTCCGCGTTTTCCAGACAGACAGGGATGCTGTGTGACCGACTCCACCTAGTGGTCGAAACTGTGAACTACATGTTTTTTTTTTTTGCACACAAGGTTAGGGAGTGTAAGTGCGTTTTACTGCGAACATATGTAGATAAATATCAACAAATACATGAAAAAGTACATTTTGATTTTTTTTTTTTTGTGTGTGTGTTTTACTTTTATTCCCCATGTGTGGAGAAGAGGTTATCACAGCTGTCTTTTTTCTGTAGTTTTGAATGTTACCTTTTTTGAAAGCTTTATTTTATGACCCTGCATATCGAGATGATTTACACGATTATTCCTGACTCTTAGATTCAAGTTTATTTCCTTTGTAGTTACAACCCCCCTTATATGACAGCTTAACCGTGTCCCACCAGACATTGAAAAGACCTCGGGAGCAAAAATTTAACTTTTACCTCCTTAGCCAAATCGCTTAATTGAAGGAGTAATTGGTTAATGCTTAGTGTTCACACTAAAAAAATAATTGTATCAGGTTCTCAGTTATTTAAAATTAATAAAGTTATACTGTTTTCATGATTTGTAGGTATTTATCACAACTATAGCACTGGTGTTCTAACCAATAATATTAACTGGAGATAAACAGTATACAATGTCTCACATTTCACCAGTGTGATAACTCCAAAAATAAAATGTTTAGAGCTCCTCTTTCTTACCTCTGTCCAAGAAACATGATTCCACTCCCTGTGTTACCTAAAATGTTGAGTTTCTTTTAACAACTTCATGCATTCAAGAGACAGTTACACCAATTCTGATAGATACCTCTGTAAAAATGAACAAGAACATTTTCTTTGGAATGACATTTAATACACAGACAATGAGTCTTCAACTTTAACTGTAAAAAAAAGCCCTGAAGCGCATTCAATTCAACCCCTTTAATTGTATTGTTCTCTGATTGGTATTGGTGAAGTATCAATATTTACAACAAGTTCATTAAAAGTTATTTCTTGGTAAATCCTCCACAGTGGTAAGTCTCATGAGGATTTGAACAACTTTAGATTCACATGTTCAGAATGGAAAAAGGTTACCAGCAAGACAAACTACATTCGGTTTGCCTGACTCGACTACAGGATGTTTTTGAGCTACTGATCACAATGCTGGTGCACTACTGAAACATGTTGATACAAAAATCACAAGTTATTTCACAAACATCTCAGCATCTTTACAAATGACAGAAGGCAAACTGAATTGCACTGAGGAAACAGAGCTGCCAACATTTACATGAAAAAATTAAAATACAGCGTTGTAAAAAAAAATCACAGGTGTCCTACTGTACAAGCATGACCAGTCTTTGCTCTTTTTAAAATCACTGTTTTGTTTTTAACAACAATATGAGTTTGTAGTTATGATTGCAAGAACCGCCAATGACACAGCATGTTGCAGATATATAATCAGATAATTATGGTTTGATACAGTTTAGTCAACAGGCCATCGCACAGCAGTTTGGATCCATGATAACCAACAAAACATAAAATTACAGAGAGCCAATGGTAATTGAATCTTTATAAACGTGCCAAGGTGAAAGCAGACAGCATCAAACGAGGAAAGCTCTTTAAACATATGGACATGACCAGTTTTTTTGTGCTTTTATCAGTCAAAGAAATCTCTGACCTATTGCTAATTCAGTACCAACTTGTATTCCTCATCTGATTGAAAAGGAACTGGTCGACAAGAGTTTTAATTCATTTGCAATAACTATGGACGTGTTGTTGTGAAGAGAAGAAACCTTGTACTGTCAAGAGTCTGAACTCTGAGCTCTTTTTGCAGCAGCCACACATACTTCAAACATACCATCAAAAAGACCAGAATAGTTCCAGCACTTTGGTTGCAGTCCTGGCTCGAGTGTCCTTAATAAGGCCTTTATTAAGGACACATGGTATAAAAACGAATGACTGCTCTATTACAGCGATAGTAATAATAAGCCTAAAAGTGGCTTTACATACTTAGTAAGTATTTAGTTCTTGTTCTGACATTTGGAAAACATGCAACATTCAGGCACACACAACCATAAATAAATTAGAGGTCTTCTGAAGAACTTAATTCAAATCATAGCACTTTTACTTTAGAGTGTAGAAAAGTTCACACTGCCATTGTGACATGGCATCAACATGATTGTTATACTGCAGACACTTCTGTGACTGTCCAGAGAGCCAGTTCAGCTGCACTCAATTAAGATAACGCTAAAAGCTGATTACAAATTGACAGAAGTCAGTAACTTTACTTTGAGCCCTGGCAAATAGAAAAAATAAATTCATCTCTTTTATTTCACTGACAAAACCGCACCGTTTGAAAGCGCGATTAAGTCAGTGTCCAATGTCGTAACTGACTAGGCACTGTTGACATTTTTGACAGTATGAAATTTAAGAGCTGAAGGTAAACAAGTGTGTTCCAGACTCGACAAAACGCTGAGGCATGGAGCTAAAGATGTGCTGTTTTTTTTTTCAGAATGATCTCAATTCATTCATAAAAGAGCCCAAACCTCAGAGTTAGAGTTACTGTACAACTAGCCGACACATGATCCCATTTAGGTCAACAACAGCAGACATTTAAACATGGTGAAACAGAATACACCAAAACAAACTGCATACTTGGAAACCCGCTGGTAATAATAAAAAAACCTCTGACAATGTGAATCTGATGTGTGGATGTAATATAGGACAATTATTTACATAATGGTAGTTTTCTGTGTTGCGTCTCAATGCACTTCAAGTACTGTAACATCAAATAAACTACCATAGCTGCCATTTAATTCTTCCAGAGATTACATCAGAGCCACTCTCAGGTGAATTTGGTGCAAATGCAAAGCTCTGAAGCATACATCTGGTTTGAATATTAAGGCCATAATTTATAGAAATCCAACAAACTCCCACAACTGGTCCTAATTTGGACATTGTAGGTGGTGGACTTCCTCTGTATCTGGACATGTGAGGCCCAAAGCTGACACACAACAACTGGTTTTCATCAAGAAACCTGGCTTGATGGTCATAGCTGAGAGGTTCACACAATGAATATCTCATACAAACCAGAAACAGTAAAGAACTTTGAACAGAAAAAATCTGCTGAAGTTGGACAATATTGTCAGCTTAAATTATATCATGTGCAGAGCAATTCAAGGAACTGACAGAGCACACACACAAGTCTGAACATTATTGTTGAGCTAAAGGAAGCACCTTTTATGCTGGGATGAATCAGGGAAGCATATAAATGGCTTCTAAAACCTTTACCCAGCCTGTTAGCACTACGGCTGCTGTCAACATGACTGGAATGCTCAACTTAAAACCGTTAACGGGATTCGCCAAATCCTCCACACCATGTCTGAAAATGCAGCTGCAACTTAAAAGACACTTCAGGCGCATGTTTATCCATTTAAAGATGCTGCTGGCAGAGGCTCTGGACGCATTCAGTAAAACACAAAGTTTTACATTCATCACATGGTGCCTTCGATCTAAGATCTCTCAGGGCTTTAGGTCTTGATTGCAGATGAGCAAAATATTTCTGTGCAGCAGAGAAGATGCATCAAGGAAGAGATGCAGTCAGCGAGCTGTGATTCTTGTTTTAATTAGCGCAGTTCTCTTACACACCAAGCAGAGACGGCTAAATGTGTGGTCGACCACAGACTGTCTCTTTTTGGACAAGTTTGTTGAGTAAGCAGTGGCGGTAATTAACCTTTTGTTCAGATTGGAAACAAATCAGATTTGTTTCTGAAATCAGAGCTTTAAGATAGACCACAATCATTTTGTTTTTACAAGTGATCATATCCAATTTGTATGTCCAGACATCATTCAGCTTTCTGTATGGGGTTGCTGTGGTTACCCTGCAGCCGTAAAAAAAAAATGACATACGCTGGTGATGCTGCTTTCCAAAGCAGAAACATGAGAAATGATGGTCCCAAACAAACACTCTGCCACACTGACTGCTATTTTTTCCTCTCTGATCATCACATGCTGAAAAACATCAGGGAAGGGCAAGACAAAGTACACCACCGCCACTCAAACATTTAAAAAGGGCTATACCAATACTCTCAGTTCATAATCTGAAAATAAATGAAAATGTTTTCACATATTCAAAGGGATATTAGAAATGGTAATGTACTTTGCTTTACTTCTCTTTCCTGGATAACGTACAGACTGCTGACTGAAATATTTTCCCTTCACACAGGTGCACAACATACATGCATCTTCGCCATCAGCTAGACTTTTCAAGGGCACTATTTCCAAGAAGACACGAGGCAACAAAAAGTCGTCATCTGAACCAAATCTTGAGGTCGGCTTGATGTATCAGGTCCCTCAGGCAGCTGGCAGCCAAAATGTAGGCCACAGCTCACTGTGTGTGAGTATCAAGTCTGGGGGTGTGAGAGTATTGTGGAGCACATTACTTTCGGTCCATCTGTCTCTGCACTCTCCAACCCCAACCCTGGTCCTCCTGTCCACATCTCAGTCTAAAGGATTATTGCCTAGCACTAGTCTCGGTCTAATCTGCCTTTAAGCTGGTCTGAGCAGCTCTCTCCTTCTCTTTCTCTCGTTCCTCGTCCTCCTGAAGGCGGGCCTGCAGTTTAAACAGATGCTGGTATCATCACTCATGCAGCCTGAAGGAAGAGGTCTGTGTACTCCTTCAGCTGGTCTATGTCGCTCTGGGTGCGTCGGTTTTGCCGGTGAGCTCCTTGGTACGGAGTGCAATGTCTAGCAGGCCGGAATTGCTCAGGATGTTATAGGTGTTGCAGAAGCGCTTCCTCTTTGTATCAACTTCACCTTCACCTTCACCTTCACCTTCTCCTGATGAACTGTTCTTGGTTGCCCTCCAAAGGCACAGGCAGAGTCTTGTTTGTGGAGCCTGTGGATTGACTGAAAGATGGGTAGGAGGTAAACTCACACTGGCTGATAACTGATGAAGGCCTCTCCGTTGCAGGGCTGCTGCTGGCGCTGGTTTCCGCTGTGTTGAGAGAAAGTCGGCTCTGAAGCAAAGGA